GGTTTTTTGTGTTAAATTGTTAACTTGCTTCGCAAAGATATCACATTCATCTAAAATTTCAATATTATGGTTTCGCAAATCTAAAACTTTCATGCTGTCTTCGTAATCACGTATCCACTCTTTTGTGTTCGAAACTTTTGAGTCAACCTCATGTTTTATTTTTCCTGTTTTGGATACCAAATCAATAGTGTAAAGTTCATGTAGATCATTTTTTTTAACGAACATTCGATAGCCTATAACATCCGAATATATCCACAAAGAAAAACTATTTATCTGGAATTTTTTTCTCAAGTTTTGCAGAACTTCATTCAGACATACCATGAGATTCGAGATCTTTAGCGTGTTATAATAGAATAAATAGATATTTAATTCGATTTAGTCATATCTAAAATAGCCTGTTATAATAATATTAATATTACACAGAATATCATAGCTATGGATTAATATAGTTACCTTCCTAAATATTAACTGTTTGCTGGTTATATGGCCTAATTTCTTTACACTAAAATCATCATTTTTTTTGTCTTTAGCAATCCACAATATTAGATCAACAAAATATGCATAACACAAAAATTCAAAATATAAGTCAACACAAATATCCTCTATATATTAATAGAAGAGACACAATGTGAAAATCCTAGGTATCATCTAAAGAGGGTTTTAAAGAGCTTTTAATGAAAGCTATTAAAACTTTTTAATGACATGAACTATTATGTAAATAATTAGAAAAGCCCAACTATATTTTAGCCCACTAAATTTATATCACATATACAATATATAATTATTAAATGAATATGAAAGCAAAGAATATGTGGTAATTAATATGAAAGATTTTATTTAAAGAATATAAAGTATATGTGAGAACATTTTACTTTTTTCAATGACTACTAAATTTTTAAACATGCGTTAAACACAAGATTAGAATATTCAAAAATAAAAATTTATATTTTTTTAATACAAAAAACATATATATATATTTTGTTTGTTATACTGACAAATTTATTTGATTCATCACATACTCTATAATTTATACAAATAATAA